GAACTACTTGTAATTGGTAGCTGCAAATGCTTACAAACCCTTCCTCAATCACTTGGTCTTCAAGTAGTAGTACTTGTCATTAGGGATAGTAACGTTATTTGTGGGAAAATTATTTGAAGGAGGCAGTGTGTTGCAATGGTAACAAGGGGAGAGAAGGAGTAAATACTGTGAATGAAGATCTGACTGGGGATTTTCAGCCTCACAAAGGGGTCTTTTTTTGGATTATTTAAATGACCTTGTAAAGCCATATTGTGTTGGAAACTGCAACTGCTATCTCATACAAACAAAATGAGCTGTGTGAAGTAAATGTAGAAAAGTAACTGAAATAGTTCCCAATATAATAAATCTACTATCAAATGAAATTATTTAATACTAAGTGCCAGTCAAAGGCACTCAGAAGTATAATTCTGTAAACTGTTTTTGCATTTACTCTGGAAGGACTGCAATAACCTTTTGTATTCCCTGTCAAAGACTATGTGTTATTTACAAGTTTGGTTATTTCAACGTGTGTCCTGTTTTAGGGTTATCGTATTTTAATGCTGATTATTTCTTGGTGGCTAGGGAATGTTGTGGTTTTGTTCAAAATATTATTTGCGGTATTTCTTGCTTGCCACACTGTCAGACCAGTCTGTTGAAGTGATACCTGGACTAATTAGTAATTATAGATCTTCCTTCAGCTAAGCAATGTATGTAATTATTTTTGTACTGCATTATGCTTTTAGTGCTTGTGTATGGGACATGGTAAACGTTTTACCACATAAGAGGTAAGGATGTGGCAGCACACTGAAATCACAGCTGTTGAGTAATATGTATATGTACATACATATATTGGGAAAACTTTTTGTTGTGTTCCTGCCACAGCATTTCCTGAACAAGGTCATCTGGTCTCTGCAGAATAATAAGGATTTTCAGTGAGAGTCGCTGTTCTGATTTTAGTAAGCAGAACAGAAATGTTCTTGCATACACTAGTAGCTATGGAACATAATTTCTAATGATGAGGGACTAGTCCATCTTTGACTTCTCTGTATGTGGTGCTTCCAAACTATCACATAAAAGAACATTTCCTTGGAGAGCTGTTCTGATTATGTGGTGCAGGCGCTTGTGAAATTTAGCTGCATGACTGTTAGCACTTAATTAGATTTGTAACACTACTTTATGAAAGTAGTTGTAATTGTCAAAGGTAGTATTGACCATAAATATTTTGGGCAATTAACTCATCTTCATTTGCGAAGGAAGTTGATAGTCCACACAGGTGAAAATCCTGCAGCATTGGGTCATATGGACAGATTTGCACCAGATAAAGCAGTGACAATGTGGACTTCCCTAAGACAGCACTGGTTGGAGAAGAAAGGTCCACATGGCGAATCCCATACCCTGAGAAGGTAGAGTGTGAGTTTGAAAGATGTGTTTGTAAGCACTTGAACCAATCAGTTTTGCCTGTCATCCGCATTTCTTATTTTTGGTTCAGCCTTATGCTAGGAATCTTCCTGTCCCCAAATTAGCTCAGTGTCATCGACACACTCCCTTGTGAGGAGCAGGCTTGCTCATCCAAGCTGTGTTTCTAATGGTGAAAAAGAATATTGCTCTTTATTTAGCCCTGCTTTCAGAAGATTGTTCTGATAACACTAGTGGCAATCATAAAACAAAAACTACGATGTTGGACATTATAAAATAGTTGCAGTGTTGGCAGTTGACAGAAAAAAAATGACTTGGTTCCATCCTAGGAGATATTTTCAAATTAGAAATGTGATAAGTATTTATTTAAGTCTCTAATGACATTTCTATCTAGTCTTCTTTGTGGGAAAGGAAGTGACCAAATAGGGTTCTGCTCTGCCGAATGACTGTGAATGTCGTGCTGGACTGGACAGCATCTTCTGGACTGTTGAGTCTAGTCGCCTACTCTTGGAAACAACCACATGATGTAATTGTGAAAAAAACATTCATACTTAATGACTGCATGTCACTTATTTTTCTTCTTGTGTATGATGGTCTACAACCAAATGGGATGGGAAAAATAAATCAAAAATGATGTTAGTAAAATGAACAGTTCTCAATGATGGAGAAAACGAGCAAATGTGTTTAGTATGAACATCTCTTCATAGTTGCTGCTGAATGAATATTTTTACGTTTTGCTAAAACATAAATTGAAACATCCATACCTTTGTTCAAGGGGTGGCTAATATTACCCTTCTGACCAAGCTATTTAATGTGTTGTCTGATGGATGCTGACAAACTTTGATGTTTTTAAATATTTGTGAGAGTTGCTTTCATGGTAGAACTTGCTTTTGAGAAGATTGATTTTTTTTTTTTCCTTTTTTTTTCTTCATATGTTGAACTGATGATTCATTCAATCTTCCTAAGTTCTTAAATTTGTGGAATTTAGTTTGCATATATCTGTAACATGTTATGTTTTGACATGCCAGATGGAGGAGTGCTTTGAATGGAGAAGGGTATTATTGCTGGACTTAACTCTGTCTCTCCTTAGCTCCCTGCTTCATTATAATTTTTGCAATCTGAAGATCACTGTAGTTAATCTTTGAGTAGGTAGTGTTGTTGACCTACAGTTTGTGGGGTCATGGTTTTATTTCACTTGTGTACGGTTGTGTTTATGCACATTAGATTGTATGGGTCTGCTAACATATTAGGAAACGCTGTACTATTTTTCTTTGCCCCCTACTCTCTTGATTGCCATAACTTAAAGTTTATGGCATGTGTAAAAATGTTTTTAGGATGCTACTTTATTGTGTAAAAGGGTATATTCTTGTGAGACGCTACCTTGTGAGAAGCAGAATTGTGTCTTACTGTTGCTCTAACTGCCCATACATTTTTACATAGTAAAACCAACCGCCTTTGTGTTTGGTAAAAACTACTACTTCTGAGCCTTCATTTACAAAATAAGACACTTAAAAAAAAAAAAAAGGAACATAGGATCTTATGAACACAGATTCTAAGGAGAACACTTAGAAATTGCTAAATGTAGTTGCCTGCGGTGGCAGGCATGATTATAAAATACTGCTAACAAACTCATTAAATTCCATCTCAAAAATAGTTATATTATTTTCCCTATTGTTCCTGTTGGATAGCTGTTCTGAATATTATTCTCTGATGTGATTCCATTTTCATTGTAAATCACTTGTGTAGTGAGGTTTTTTTTTACTTTGAATGCATGCTTTCCATTTGATAAAAATCATAGCAATCTTGACTCTCAGAAATCTTTAGCTTTAAGTTTTGTCAAATAGAAGGAAAATATTAGGGGCAAATTCTTGTAAATAAAGTCTGTTGGTAGTGGCAAATTCTGCAATACTGATTCTCAAATTTTTGTCCAAAGTACAATCGTTTTCTACCTGCTTTCCAACATTTTCTCTCCACATAATAGTTTTTGTCCCAAGAGATGCTCCATTTTTTTTAACATATTGTCTAAACCTAGAAACTCTCTGTGCATAAAAAATACATTTCTCTTAGGATTAGTGATAAACCAACAGTGGACTTTATATAGCCTGCCTGGGGCATATAAAACACAAACTGTTTTTTGAGGAGAGAAAAATACTATATATGAAACAAACAAAAAAGATATTTTATTGTACATTGTCAGGATTTTAATATATCTCTAATTCCTGTTATAAAAGATGAATACATGAGCTAGAAGCCCTCTGTCAGTGGCCATGTCTACAATTAAAGCAAGTAAGAAATAGACCACCTGCATAATCTTTGTTCTAGTCTGATCTTAACTTTGGTACTAGATTTCGAAGGCACTTTGAGTGAATAGCGGGTTTCCATAATGATGTGTTTTGCTTATTCCCTAACTATTCCTAACTTCAGGATGAATTGTTTGACAAGTTTTGGCTAAAAGCAGTTCTTTTGAAACATAGCTCAGGCTCTGTTGGAGCACGTTTTTGTGTCTTTCTTGGCCAGTAGCTGCAAAGTTAGTTTGCTAAGCTATGATGTGGGAACTCTCATATTCATCTTTTACCTGAAATGATTTGCACCTATACTGCCTGTTTGTCAGGAGAGTAAGTATCTACCATCAGTTGTTCAAGACCGGAGAGTACCCTGCTCACCTTTTGATGCTGTTCTGATTTTGTTAGTTAATACATGAACATTAGTCTGAAACCTGGTTGCGCCTTCTTACTATAGTAATAAGGTATTGATTTTATATTATTGACTCTCTGCCTGGTTTTATAATTGTGTAAGTATCCTATAAGAATTAGAACAATTTCAACAGGAAAGACTGGTAAATGAGGTAAGTCTTTTCTATCTTTGCTTTCCTTCCTTTCAGTTTCATTCTCTTTCTTCCTTCCAGTTCCTTTTCATTCTATTCCCCATCCTCTTCCCATTTACATTTTCTGTCTCTTGTTCATTCTATCCCCAAATTCCCTCCTTGCATTATACTACTCTTCATTTTCTGACATACCATTAATCTTCCAGTCTTTATGGCTTACTTTCCCACCTCCACAAGCACACCCACAGGATGCTTAGAAATTTTACAGCATACCCAGTTGTCAAAAACCTAAAACTACAAGTCCCAGACCCATAATACTATGCTGGGAATGCTCTTTAACTCCCACGCTGTTTGGAAAAAGAAACTGGTACAGTTAGTGTAAGGTCTGCAAACCATAATACATGCCTAATATTCCTTCACTTTCCACTAAACCTGGAAACTCCTCATTGGAGTTGGGGAAGAAGATGGGATCTTGCTTTTTTGTTTCAACTATGGTTCTGATCTTTGCAGAAACCCTCGAAAGAGTGACATGAACATGTAGTTACAGTGCTATGACCTTTGAAACATTAGGTTTGAGGAGAATGCACTGTTCATCAATGGATCAGAAAACCTGTTGCAGTAGGTGGATATACCAGCAAGTGAATCCTCAGCACAGCAGCCGCATTGTAGCTTTACTGCTGTGGTACCAGTGCAAGTTCCCCACACTTGAAAGATGGATGATCATACCCTCGTTCTTTGACTCAGGAGTGTCTGACTGAAAAAAACCTGTGGCCTGGGGAAGATGACGCAGTATTGCATTGGTCTTGCAGCAGACCCTTTCAGTGTTAGTGGCTACTACTGCTGCAGCCACCAGCAGGAAGAGTGCAATGGTGTAAGGTCTCACTACCAGAGGAGAGTCGAAGTGGGGTTTCTAGTGGGACGTGCCTTGGGTCTCAGATGCTTCTGTCCAGTCTGGGTGCCAGGATTTCTGCCAGACCATGTTCTTTACTGCTGGCAGAAGTCGCTAAGAAAAATGACAAAAGACTGCATCTCTAATGTGTGTATGATCAACTGATCGCCCCCTCCACTAATTGCCTGTGAATGCTAAATAAAAAAGCACTATTCAGTGTATGGATGACAGTACTTAGTTTCCAAAGGCAATAATTTGAGGCTTTTCTCTTGCTAAATAGCACCCATGCCAGTGTTTAGTGTTGCTCAGTGGAATTACCATTAGATTTAGTCTTAAACAATAGACCTGAACAGTTTTTGGACAGTTTTCACTCTCCTGTATTTTGGAAAAGCTCTGAACAATACAGAGACACTTAAGCTGTTTTTTTTCCCAGGCTTTGGAAATGATCTCTGTGTTGCTTTGTGCTCTTAATTCTGTTGTGAGGAAGATGAATTTATTATCAGCGTTAGAAACAGAAATGTAGAAATCCAACCTTAAATTCTGCAGTAGTCAGTAGTCGGGCCTTGACCTGCTTGCCTCTGCTTGTCCTTGATTAGTGTTTGGGTTTTTTTTAAGCCTGTATGACATTTAATTGACTGTTTGGCACTTAAATGACAGTACTGTAACAGATACCACATGTTAAAACAATATTACCAGCTATACCATAGCTGAATATAGCTGTACTGTAACTAACCTTGGAATTATTGGATCAATCATTGGTAACCCACCCCAGGTTAGATATTGCCAGCTTTGCTTCCAGTTCCTTTTTTTTCCATTCTTCTTATTCAAAGGATAGCACCAAAGGAAGCTAGGCAAAGCATTGCTAAGCAATCAAAGGAAATGAATCCTCTCCTTTACCCTTTGTTCTCTGTTATGCAGTAAGGATGCCAGTTATTTAATGTTAAAAGAAATGAATTAACAGACTGAACTTCAAGATGAACTTGCCGAGTAAAATGATGCCTCATCATGGGTTAAAAAACCCTATAGTACAGTTAAAGATAATTATTATTTTTTAAAATCTTCTTTCTCTAGAATCCTACTCAAGTGGGAACTGCTCTTCAGGTTTTCCATAACCTTGGGACTTTGAAGGATACCATTGCTAATGTGGTGGATGGATACTGCACAGTCCTGGAGGAGAACATAAAAAATGCTTTGGATATCAAAGTATTGACCCAACCATCTCAAACTGTTACAAGAGGTATGATACTTGTTTTACAGAGAATGATAACTGATTTTTTTGATGGAAGTACAGTATGTTGTCAAATGGAAGAAACTCTTACATCCAAGCCTGTTACAGGAATGTTTCCCTCCTGGCTTTAACTAGTAGAGGATGGGAGTAGGCATGTCTCAGAAATCATCTAATACAAAGCCAAAATTGGGTCTGCCTGTTGTTATTGGGCTCAGAAGCTTTCCTGTATTCCCCCGCCTGTCACAGATTCTAATTTAGGATCCTGCCGACTACGCCAATTTGTCATGAACAAGTGATTTAAATCACTTAAGGAATCACCATCAGAGGTGTTACGATAAGAGGTTTTAATATGGTATTGTAGAAGTACAACTTAACAAAGTTTGATGGCATGGTTCACTCTTATTCCTTACTACATGGAAGAAACGTACAAAGGAAAATCAAGTTAGAATCAAGCTAGAATGGTTACATACAGACCAGAGAGGCAAGAGGATAAGGAAGACCCTCCCTGTCCTGGTTTGGCTAAAACAGGACTGTTTCTCCTTTCAGGAGTTTTTCTTGCAGTTAAGTTTCTTCAAAGTAACTGCACTTTGTGAAAGTGCAGCTACATGTTTTTGAGACAGTGTCTGCTTTCAGACTTGGTAACACCTGATGTTCACAGTTGCTACTGAAGTAACAATGGGATTGGTATGCAGAAAGGCCCACCTTTATACTTACCCCTATGAGAACGAAGGCCATGGCTGGCTCTCTTTTTTTAAGCAAGTAAAAGGTTGTAAAAGGGTCACACCTGCAGAAGAGTACAGATGGGACAGATGACCAAAAACGTGACCAACAAGGTATTCCATCCCATCCATGTCATAGTCAGCATAAAGCTAAGAGATCACAAGGGTCTCACTCTCTTCTTTCATGGCCGGCATCCCTGTGGGACCCTGCTCGCTCTCCTGCCTCCGACCCCAGTCCGTGCATTCCTGAATCCGGTTCCTGTTGGCTGCAGAGTCAGGTCCAGGGCGTCCGGGTGCCCACCCTACTGCGGCAGCAGCGCAAACCGCTACTGGCTGCAGCCCGCAATCTCCCAACCCTCATTGGGAAACTCAGTATCGGTTTTGTATACTTTTCCTTTAATTTCCATTATTAGTAGTATTAGTATTAATATCATTATACTATTTTTCATTTTTTTTTTTTTATTAAAGTAGTTTTAATTTCCAGTCCATAAGTCTCTCTCCCTTTTCTGCATCGCTTCCCCTCCCGGAGGGAGGAAGGGGGTTAACAGAGAGCATCTGCCATCTGTTTTAAGAACCGACCAAGCCTTAAACAGTGACACTCCCGTTGAGTCACAGGTTCAGAATGGGCACCCTTGCTTTCTAAACTCGTAATGGAGCTTAGGTCTGGCCAGGTCCAGTCTTAGACCGAGACTTAGACAATGGTTTCTGTCTAATGGAAGAAATACAAAGGGTAAGGAACACCCTCCCATTGAGTCACGAGGTTCAGAGTGGACACCCTTGCTTTCTGAACTCTTTATGGAGCCTGGGTACAGCTAGGTCCAATCTTAGTCTCAGACTTGGACAACAGTTTATGTGTGATGGAATTATCTATACAAAGTTTATAATAATTAATACTGAGTGTGGACTCCATTAGTATTAATTCAGCATACTATCAGTCACTTACTGAGGATCTGTTGCAAGTAAGAGGTCTTTCCACCTTGGGTAAGGAAGGATCTCTTAGTCTCAGGTAAGGAATCTCAAACCTTGAGAGGCATCCCTGCTCAAGGGGAGTCTCATCTGGCGTGCAGTCTGGTTGCAGTTTAGGGAGAACTCAAATTGGGCTCATGTCATTGGTAAAAGGTCTCTCTACCTTGAGGAGCAACCTTGAGAGGCATCTCAGCTTAAGGGGAGATCACCACCATGCAACCATGCTGCCTGGCAGGGAGAGCTCAAAGAAAGCTCACGTAGGCTGTCATATTTATGGAACAAAGTGGTTGGCTCATCATCAAATTGGATACAATGGGAAAAGTATGCTTAAGACTCCTTGTACCCACAACTTTCTTTGTTCCGTGGTAAATGAGTCTTGGAAAAGCCACCCACTATTCGTGTGTTAATCGTGTGGTGTTCCAAGCTCATATGCATTGGTGCTCACTGTGTCACTCTGCTCCTTTGTGGGTTTCCTAGGGGAGTTCTTGGCCTGGCTACAGCTCAGGCCATCACCTCCTTTGGAGCCTGTACCAAGCTACTCCTCCTTTGGTTAAGATGTCGAGTGCATCTGTCACGCCCTCCCCTCCTCTTTTTCCTGACTTGCCCAGGAAGTTGTCCTCGTTAGTTTACAACTTTGCAGGATTTTCTTAGCAGTTTATCATGGAAAGATGAATCCAAATTCTGCTTTCTTTGTGTTGGTGGGAGGATCACAGAGAGAAATTATTTGCAGGCAATGGAACAAGCCTGAAACTGCATTGTGGTGCTTTTGTCAGATGGAAATCATTTCGAAGCAGTATATTCAATATGAAGGCATATTGCACTATTAAACATTTAGTTCCCACATGTTAGCTCAGATAGAAAAGAATACTGACGAATTGGGTGGGCAGGCAAATTTGAACTTTGTCAATATGAACCTTTGAAATTTTAAAAAAATTTTTTGCAACAAGTTGGGGATTCAAACCCATAATCACTAGCATAGTAAAGAAATACAGCCCTTCTCAAGGAAGGTGGTGGTTTAGAAGCTGCATGCCCTTCAACTGAATACCATTTTTTTTAGCAGTTCACCTACGCATTTAAGTCCGGAGCTGTATTTTTCACAGCTACTGTCTCTGCCATTTCACTTTGCTATTACATCCTGCAACAGTGCTCATTGGCATTACCTTGGTGTTTCTGTGGAGGTCTGAACTGGTAAAGCAGGTAACAGTGATGAACATCGAAGTATGTCCACTGAACTTCAGAGTTTAGTTGACTTCTCACTTGAGACAGCTGAGGCCATTCACAAAGCTGTTTTGAAGCTATTTTAGGCTGTTTTGATTTAAAAAAAAAATTCTTTTGTCAGAGTACATAGAGATCTATATTTCTAATGTTTTAATTTTCACATGTGAAAGCTGAAATGTACTGCTGTGTGTTTTTAAAAAAACATTTAGGTGGCCCTGGTAGAGCTGCTATGCCAACACCTGGGAACACAGCAGCTTTTCGAGCAGCCCTCTGGACAAATATGGAGAAGCTCATGGATCAGATCTGTGCTGCTTGTGGACAGGTACTCAGCAGCTAGTTCCTGTTTGTCTAGTCATGCAATTTTGCATATAAGATATTAGATGTCACTTCTTCTCTCAATAAATTCTTTCTTACAGGTGCAGCATTTGCAGAAAGTATTGACAAAGAAAAGAGATCCTGTGTCACATGTCTGCTTCATAGAGGAAATAGTTAAGGTAAAGTTTTAATTTAGCTGAATATGTTTTAGTAATCCTGTTAAGGGAAATGTAACGAGAAATGCTTTTGTTTGCAAGTTTACAGTTCCATAAAAATTTTGTAATTAAATTAATGGGAAAGTGTTGAAAGTCAAGCTAACATTGAAAGCTATTTTTATGATTTGTGGGTTACATCTGTAGGGTGTAAACATGTTCTTTTTATAATAATTTCTTTTGTTTTCTTTAAAGGGAGCTGATAAGGCACCACTGTCAGTTTTTATTACTGATCATTAATGTCATTCCATAAAATACCATGTGATTTGAGTAATTAATTAAATCTGTTAGTTTGCATAGAAGAATGTATCTTCATCTAACACTTTCAACCATCTGTTTCTCTACTTCTTGGCAATTTCTTCCTTGAAAAATAATCATGGCTGTTCTTTTGAATACCTATTCTTTTCCATTCACTTGCATTGTTTTCTATTCATATTTGGAATAATTTGATTAATGGTCTCCTTCACTGTTAGGAACAGAATTACTGAAGCTATCTCATCTACCTTAGTAGATGAGAAGAAACAAACACAAAAGATGTGTTTATGCAGACATCTCCTTTTCCAAGTGTGTGGCTGGATTTTGTAATTTACATGAATTTCATTTTTGAAATATGTTGGGGTAACTCTTCATATGCAGATGTGGTCTTCTAAACAGTGAATGCAAATAATGAAGGTTAAATACAGCATTTAAGTTTATCTGTCTCTTAAACCCATCTCTAAAAGATGTGGCACAGAACCTCACTTTTCTATGAGGCACTTCAGGCTTCTCTTTCTGTGTTGCAAAAAAAAAAAAAGCCCACCACAAAACACCTCAAAAAGTTTATAAACTTTTAGCATATTTTCTTCATGAAAAAGTTTGATTTGGCAAAAAATATCTATTGCTGCCTGGGTGGAGCCCTTCAGTAGATCAGTGTGTTTAAGGAGAAACATAGAAACCTAGAGACGTAAGGAGGAACTCTGGAAGGCTCAGGAAGAGTTTGGCTGGAAAGAGAGCTTAGATAAATGAGCTTTCAGTGTTCATGAGTGGCTTGCACCCTGACCTTGTGCTTCTCATTTTCAGTCTTCCTTTTTGTAGAACAGCACTTGAAAAGGGGATAGGAGTTTTTCCAGTTGTTGAGGATCATAATGGAGGGGAGCCAAAGAAAATCTTTTATCATCCTGGAGAGCAAACGAACAGGGAAAATGAATCTCAATATAAGCTAGATGCAGAGTAAGGAAAAACTCATTAGAAAATAAAATAAAAGGCTTTTGGGTTGTCATAAGCTAAGCATGTTCCATGATCTCTCTAATTACCTTTCCTTCCTTCTGACTTCATACTGCAGGATTGCATCTAAGTGACAAATTCCCAAATAAAATCAATCTATTTGTTTCTTACAGTTAGTTTGCTCTTCAACAGGTGTTTTGGTGTATAACACCAAGCTGAACAGTTGTCATTCTCAGTGAGGCAGCTAAGGAGTACCAGTACATCCTTGTCTGATGCTACCAGAATTCTCTCAGCATGAGACGGTACTGCTGATAGCACTAATGCTTTACTTTTTTCTTACCTGAGATGGTTCAGTGTAGCACAGTGTTTTTCTTGGCCCTTGTCACTGTTTAAGGCTGGGCCAGAGCCTAAAGCCGATGGTAGGTGCTCTCTGTTAACCCCCTCCCTCCCTACTGGGAGTGGAAGGAAAGGAGAAAAGGGAGAGAGACTTACAGGTTGGAAATTAAAACTACTTTAATAAAACAATAGCAGTGAAAAAGGGTATAAAAATATTAATACTAATGCTACTAATAGTAGAAATAAAAGGAAAAATATACAAAGCCAATATTGAGCTTCCCGCTGACGGTCAGGGAATTGCAGGCCATGACAGCTCGTGCTGCTGCACACCTGGATGTCCCGGACTGGATTCCACAGCCAACAGGAACCGTATTCAGGAATGCACAGATCAGGGTTGGTTGCAGGAGAGCGAGCAGGGTCCCACAGGGATGCTGGCCATGAAAGAAGAGCGACTGACCCCTGTGATCCCTTAGCTCTATACCGAGTATGATGTGGATGGGCTGGAATGTTAGTCAGTTTTGGTCACCTGTCCCATCCACACTTTTCTGCAGGTACGACCCTTTTACCACTTTTCACTCGTTTAACATAAGAGAGCCAGCAGTGACCTTGGTTCCCACAGGAATAAGTATAAACATGGGCCTTTCTGCATACCAATCCCACTATTACTTCAGTAGCAACTGTAAACATCAGGTGTTACCAAGTCTGAAAGCTGACACTGTCTGAAAAACATGTAGAAATAGAATATCATAGAATCATTATGGTTGGAAGAGACCTCAAAAATCATCATGTCCAACTGTATATCTGATGTATGCTCACTAAACCCACTAAATCATGTCTCGAAGTGCCACATCTAAACGTTTTTTGAACACCTCCAGGGATGGTGAGTCCACCACCTCCCTGGGGAGCCCATTCCAATGCTTAACGACTCTAACAGTGAAGAAGTTCTTTCTAATGTCCAGCCTGAACCTCCCCTGGCGCAACTTGAGACCATCTCCTCTTGTCCCATCGCTGGTTACCAGGATAGTTGTCCTATCGCTAGTTACTTTCAGAAAGTGGAGTTACTTTGAAGAAACTTACCTGAGGGAAAAATTCCTGAAAGGAGAAATAGTCTTGTTTTAGCCAAACCAAGACAGCCCTTCTCACAGTTACACCATTTGTTCTAGTGTCCCTTGAAAGTGGTATGGCACCAGCCTGCAGATGGGTTAAGTCACACCAAACAGTAGACCTGTTGTTTAGACAAAACTAGACAAGTACTACATGCTGTTGAAATGTAGGCGTGTATGTACAGATGGCTGTATGGGAGAGTATGAATTGTTGTGTACATTGGAAATAGATGTAAGTTAGAAATTGGGATTTTCCCATTTACTAATGAAGATTCCATCTTGTATTAATCCAAACTGAAACAACATGCTTTCCTCAGCAAGTGTTCTGGAGAGGGAGGAAATTTGGATTTTCCTCATTGTATTCAATTTCATTAATAAACTGAGCAAATGAACAAAACAAACTAAAGGTACTAACATGATACCCATTCACTGGGCCAGCATGCCCACGCCAGAAGATAGGAAAACGACTCATCCACTCTACAGTCTGTGCACTAATTACTCTTACTGATGTCAACATTATTATTTTTATAGTCATCTTCTGCAGCAGCTGCAGTACCACTTTGCCTATCCATCTGCTTCCTTGTTTTGATTACTGCAGTGCAAGTATCATTCTAGGAAGCATAAGAGAGGAGACCCAGCCTTTTTAAGCACAGTCCTTTAATAGCAAGGAAGCTACTTGCCATTTTTTTCTTTATTTAATCATTCTCTTTTTTTCTATTGGAAATTTTTTGTGTCTTTCTCTTTGCAGATAGCACAGCCTGCGTTTATGATTTTGTATTATGATCTCAAACATGTGCTTTCTGGCCTTCTAGTTACCTCTTACTGTAACAATATTTAGTAATGTTGTATCATGTTGTATTTAAAAAATGTAGCTTTAAAGGCAGTAGCTAATTAATTAAAGGATTTGCAAAAACTCTGTGTTTAAAAAAAAGGAAACAAAGCAAAAATCTGACAGGTGGAGAAACTGAGGCACGGAACTTGTAAAATTTATAAATACTGGAG